GTGAAACTGCTGAAAAATCTAAAAAAAAAAAAAATGAAATTTCGGGTGTGAACAGTGACTCCTTTTTTTCCTAATCAACTAGAAAGAAAATTGAACAAGAAAACTGCTACCTCACAACAATTTTTTTTTTTGTTTGTGCTGTTCCACATGTTTTTTTGGGAAGAGGATAGGAAGAAAGTTTTGGATTGTGGATGAAAAATTACCCAAGTTTTGGCTCTGATACCAAATTTGATGTAGGACGAATTAAAAAATAGAAAGAAGAAACAAGAAAGAGGGGAGAACCGGAGAGAATGAGAGGAGAAATCAGAGAAGAAGTAGAAATTCATGGGGGAGAGGAGGAGGAAGGAGAAACCATAGACAACAAACCATCAAAATATTCTTCAATTCATAAAAACTAATGAAATTACATCGCAATTAGGTTTAAATAGTAAAGACTAAAACCCTAAGTAGAATGGACTTGGGCTTGGGCCAACACAAGCCCAATTACATAAATATAATCTAAAACATAAATAAAGTCGAACTAAAAATAAATAAAAAGTAGATGTTCCATCATTCTGTTTGACCAGTGAAATAATTATAGAGTTTTGCTTTACTTTTGGAATGTCTTTGTAATAACAGTAATATCTATTTTACTGATTTTTGGTTCTAAATTCTATTCTTTTTTTACTAACCCTGGTAAGCTTCTCGTTGGCTATTAATAGAGAGTTTACACGGCTCATCTGCTAACCATGAATCCTGTCATCCTTTTTATTTGGCTTGTTATCAAACTCTTGTATTGCTATTCATTTCATTTTCTCTATCTTTTCTAGGCACTCCTTGTATCACAGATTGTGTAATGGCTGAGCTTGAGAAGTTGGGTCAGAAATACCGAGTTGCTCTGAGGTATGTTCTTTTGTTCTGTTTTGATCACCATTGATGATCTCGTTGAGCTGAATAAAAACTTTTGGGGTTACATACATTATTATCTCAAGGGCTAAGCAAAATTTTATGCAATACAGGTGTGGGCACTTGAAAACAATTATTTTGTGAAACTATGTAGATACTTTGTGTTATATCTGTAATGTTGTTATTCAGTAAAAAGGATGAATATGATGAGATCCTGAATGTTTATTGTATTTTATGGATGCTTTTCTAGTAATTGAATGCAAATTTTTGGAATATGGATTGAATTTGTGAATGAAAAGTTACTGTAAATATATGAATGCTGTCAATGAAATGCAGAAGGTAAATTAACTACAATTTGGAAGGCAATTATTCTAACGGACTCCCCTCCCTTACATTTATTATAGGCCCTCAACTTTAGTCTCAAAAGATCCTAAAATATCCTTCCCCCTAACGACTAGACAACTTAACAACTCAGCAGCTAATCTAGTAACCAGAAATAGTGTCCTGCTTTTATAGTGAATGCATCACTACTTTTCTCTATTGTTGTTGAGCATTGGTAAAATTTATAGGGGGGCTATCAGAATACACATTGAGGTCTCTCTGCCTGTGCTTGTGTATGCATGCTTATTTGTGTGAGAGAGGAGTGCATGCATGTTTGTGTTTCTTTATTCACTCTGTACTGGATGTGCTATTGAAGCTCAGGATTATTGCGAAAGAAGATATGGATTTAATATTGTATATAATGAAGTTAATCGTCAGTGCAGGTTGCAGTGATCCAAGCGTTATAGTATAGGGTTTTGTTACTTGTACATAAAAAATATACATAATGGATTACATAACATGATGTGGAGAGAAAATATTGGATGAAAAAATTGATTGTGTTTTAAATTGGCAGATGGTAGAGTGTCTGTGGTATTATGTAATCCATTATGTAAATCTTTATGTATATGTAGCAAGGTCTCATAGTATATAGTTGAGAATAATTTAGTCTTGCAATTTTTCTCTTAGATTTCCTCTGATTTACTCTTCTTCATTTCCTTTTGGGCTCATTTTGCCTGTATATTTATATGTACATGTGTAGATAAAATTATCTCAGTAAGTATTGCAATTCTTGTCCTTAAAAAGGCCTGAAACTGTATCAAACCTTTTACTAATCATGCAATTGATGTCCTACTTGTCAGGTCTTAGGGTTTCTTTGTCTGAAATAGATGTATATAATCCCCCCCCCCCCCCCCCCCCCCCCCCCCCCTTTTTTTTTTATTTTTTTGTTGTTAATGGTATTTGTTTAGCTCACAATATATATTTTGGAAATTGTAGAACACGTCCAAGAGGGAGGGGTAGACAAAATTAATAGAGCATAGTATGCTCACACTATGGTAGTAGCTAAGAATCTAGTTGCTTTTGATTTTCAGTAGGTGTAGTATGATGAATCGAATGGAAGGGCATAAAAGGATTCAGAAAATTCTTGGTTAAAAGACCTGTTTTGTTTCTGTTATGCTTTTTGTTTGAAAATTTCCTTCTTTTTTACTTTTACTTGATTTTATTCCTTGGTTTTGTGATGATGAATTACTTTAGAAAAGAAATCCTCTGCTATTTGCTTATACCAACAACTTACTCTGTGTTCATTACTACTACTCTTTCTTATGAGCAGAATTGCTAAGGATCCTCGATTTGAAAGGCTTCCCTGTACTCATAAAGGAACTTATGCTGATGATTGTCTTGTTGACCGGGTTACACAGGTACGATTTAAAGTCAGCTGCTGTTATATTTTCGTCTTCCAGGACTTGAGATTCTAAACAATAAAAATTAGCAATTTCCACTTCATTCTGTTTTCCAACTTCCATGTTTTAAAAGAGTGCCAAAAAGCTTGAACTCACCTGCTTCTACATGTTTCTATAATTCCTGTGTGGTATTTGTATTTTCGGGTTAGATTGTACTGTCACGTTATGAATGTCACTTAAAATTTTTTGTTTACAATAATTTAATGGATTGCTCTGTGACAATACAACAGCACAAGTGCTACATCGTCGCAACCTGTGATCGAGACTTAAAGCGTAGAATTCGGAAGGCGAGTATTAATTTTCCAGTAAAAGGTAGTGTTATTTTCCTTTCGGTAGAAATCTAACATTGATATTTATGATCAGATCCCGGGTGTACCAATCATGTATATTACTCAACACAAGTATTCTATTGAACGGCTACCTGAAGCAACAATTGGTGGAGGTATGATAAAATCTCTATGTTACGGACCCTTCCACTCCATCATTCCTTCAAACTTCCTTTTGCATTTTAATGTGATCGTTTACTTCGTCATTGTACATTTTGTGCAGCTCCAAGAATCTAATGCTAAGGTTTTCAACTGTGCGAGTCTTCAGTTTGCCAGAAAAATTTGTTGAGGAAATCGTTAAGGTTGGCCTCAAAGAGGAAGAAGCAACTTATCCCAATGGTTGGATCCTCGACACCAGTGGAGGCATTTTTTGAACTTTACTCTTTTATTTCTACCAAGCTCTCTTAAAACTCGTTATTTGGTGGGTAGTTAAAGAGAGTGTTTATTTTAGTTTTTGTGATATCCAATTCAGATCTGAAACAAGATGATAAGAGGCCTTTATGCTCCATAGAATCAAATGCTAGCTTTATGAATTGCTTTAGTTATGTATGTTTTTTTCCTTATAATTTTGAATGCTTGGACCTCAGCAATTCCTTTTTGTATACCATTCTACCCCTTCTGCTATGTGGTATAATTAAACAAAGATGTGTAGCACAAATTACTAATGGTGCATAGAATGGTGAAAGTTGCATTCGAGTAGTTCTATTCAGTTTGTTTTAATGAGGTCATTTTGTGGAAAATCTATCTTCGATGAGGTTGGTGTGTGAACAAATGAATGAAATTAGGTACCAAAGGAGTGCACGATTCTTCGAATACGCATTCGTCTGTTGAGAAAGTCGGTTTGGTAGCCCTATGTTTAGCACGCAATCGGGAATTTTTTTTTTTTTTTTTTTTTTTTATGAGCACAAGAATAATTTTTGAGGGGCTGCAACGAAACGTGATACCTACGTCAAGATAGATTTGATTTTCTCTGTCTATCCGAAATTCCCTCTCTATTATGAATATAGATATTTTTAATTTGGGCAATATACAAAAATATCCTAAAAATTAGAGATGTTCTGAAAAATCATGTGAAATATTTTTTGGAAGAAAAAAATCTTGTGTAAAATGAAAAAGTGATACAATGTCACCTTTTTTTATAAAAAATTATCACTTTTTTAAAGTGGCACAAACTCAAAAAAAAAAAGTGACACAAACGCTTAAAAAGTGACAAAATTAAAAAAAAGTGACAAAAACTCAGAAAAATTATAACACATAAAAATAGCATCATCCATTTGTGAGCACTAGTAATTATATTCTTAACATTCTTTGATTCAAAGTATCATCCCATCTCAATTGAAAAAGCAAACGATTTTGCTTCTCCATATTACTATATTTCTATAGTCAATAATTTTATACGAGGAACTACTGAATAATCAGCATATTCAAGACAATCCACATGAGCGTAGTGCGATTCTTAACATAATCAGCACATGGATTGTCTTGAATGTGCTGATTATTAGGAAAATATAAATATATAATATATCATGTGACTTTTCATCTTATTAAATAAGTGACAAAAATTTAAAAGATGACGAAAACTCAAAAAAAGTGGCTAAACGTAAAAAAGTGACAATGTCACTTTTGAAAGTTTAGTGTCACCTTTTTATTAAAAAAAAATGACATACAATGTCACTTTTATTAGAAAGTGATGTTTGCTACTAAAAAAAGTTATAGAAATTTCAAAAACGTGATTGATAAAAAAGTGTCACTAAAAAAAAAGTGACAAAAATTCAAAAAATTGACAAATATTAAAAAAAGCAAAAAAATTAAAAATTAAAAAAAGTGACACATTGAAAAAGGTGACAAAACACTAATTAAAACTTTGGAATCAATTCGATTAAAAAATGACAACTCAAAAAAGAGAGAAAAAAGTGACGAAACACCAATCAAAATCTATTTACTTTATTAACCAGATTTCTCTTTCAGGCGACTGAACTTCCTTTCTTTGCTTCAAGAGTTCGTCTTGGTCGAAATGGTGTTGAAGAGATAAACCCACTTGGTCCTCTAAATGAATACGACAGGTTTGTCAATATATTGCTGAAATCTTTAGATGTTGATTGAGAGTTTTTGTGTTTAAAGTTCAGAATATAAGAATTTCTCCAGGATTTTGTTTTGACAGAGTTGGCTTGGAAAAGGCAAAGAAAGAGTTGGCTGGAAGCATTGAGAAGGGGGTTTCCTTTGTAGGAAAATAAAAAGGCTACTGGCATATTCAATTGTCTTCCTAGTTCACCTTCTGGATTAAAGTGGAGTGGTCGTTGTGCCAATAGGGAGATTTCGTAAAACTGGGATCTTTCAATAACACCACGTTCTCTCTTGGTCAATTCGACTCGCAAACGTAAAATTCATTTTCTTTAACCATGAATCTAACTATACGGGATAAAAAAAAATGAAAGATTGAGCACAAATTTGCCCAAAATCATTGCTACGGTGTGAAGATTAAAATCAAACCTGAATTCACATAGAACCGTAGAGAGAATTAGGGTTTCATATAGTAAACAATCTTTCTTCCTTCCCCCAAAGAAAGTTCAATACTACAGGGACGTAAATTTCAAAAGTTTCATATTTGGGACGTATGGAGTCTAATTTCCTCCTTTTAATTTTCTAATACATCCTTATTTAATGTACCTTGTTATCAATAAATATATTTTAATCTTATTTACATCAATATTTAGAGTGTGTGAGTCCCATTTTTATGAAAAATGTATTTTAAAATAATAAATTCATGAAAAATGTATGACTGAAAAATAAGGAAAAAATTTTTGTTTACGTATAATATTATATTAATGAATAATGTGATTGAAAAAAAAAAAAAAAAAAAAGAGAGAATAATGTATTTTAAAAAAAAATGAGAATCAAACAAGGCCCGGTGATATATCAAGAATTTTTTTTTTAAAGAAAAAAATTATATTTTTAACTAAATTAAATATATTTTCGTAAAAATAGAAACAAGCTTATTTTATGAAGCAGAGGTAGCAATTGTAAACAATTTATTTACTTTATAACAATAAAAGGAAAATTAAAACAGAAAAGTTACACAAACATATATTGTAATCTAATTATAAATCTTTGCAGGAAAAAATAAGTGGTAGCTTGCTCCTTACGCTACTACAAAGCAACATACAAAATTTTCATCTCACGCGACTCCTAAATAATAAAAGAAACAACTCATCATCTTCATTCATTTTTCAACCAAAAGTTTCATATGATATAAACATATTCTGCCAGCACCATTTACAAGTCAAAAAATAAATTAAAAGGCAAGTAAAATGATACAAATTCTTTAGGTCAGAAGGTTGCTAAGACGTACAAAATCTAGTCGATTAAATTAAAAATTGAAAAAATGGTGTAAGGAGGATTAAATTCATTGAATTAGGTGATTCATCTGGATGATTAAATACTCACAAGATCAGTTCTATGCAAGAACTGTTGAATTTGCATCCATCTGCTTCAGCACAGGCTTCACATACTTACCTATCGATTTTTGATGCGTTCGGTTCCTAATCCGTTGGATTTTATCTTTACTCTGTTGTCTCTTCTTTTCTTTTTCTTTATTTCTCAGGTTCCTCTCCTTTTCGTACATACCTTGCCAGAAGACCTCACCGGTAGACGGCCACAGCCACCGCCTCTTTGGGCGGTCGGAATCAGCCTCCTCAGCCAGATCCTCATCCATGCTCTTGAGAGTGCCATATTGGAACCAATTAACCCACATTTGACCTCTCCGGCTTCTCAACTCATGTTGTTCTTGCATAAAACCTGTCTTTGGGTCCACATACACCATTCTTCTCGCGCTGTGGTATGCCCAAACATTTACGAGCAACTCGAGCAAACGAGAGTAGCAATGTTTATCCTGCCAATCAATGTCAAAATTGTAAGTCGCAAATAAACTATCATCTAGAAAAAGAGTAGGTACACAAATACTTCAGCCGTCGATGGAAATTAAGCACCTGTTTGATGGCCATCATATAGAGAAATAGGGGAGAAATGATGTTTCGAATAGTAATTTTTTTGAAGAATGTGCGGTTAAAAAGTGAGTAAAAGTTTCGGATTTTACATGCATAATATTTTAGTGACCTTGCTCGACACGTTCTAAATTTTTAGCATTTGCACTCACAAAGATATTCCCAAAACTGTAGTTTGAACCCATTACAGAGGAAGAAAGTTACCTTGGACAAACTCAGATAACAACGCCCGGTTTTCTGGTGCTCATCGTAGAATTGTGCGTCAAGTGCATTCACAAACATTCTGCGAATTGAAAAGTTGATTCCAAGTTAACAATTCTATGCTCAACCAATTTTTTTGAGACCAAAGAATCAAGGGCTAATATTACAATTATTAAAACCAGATGCACAAGCAGGTCGCCTGTAAGCAGGCATACTGGCTATATCAAGCCAGTTTACATTACTCCATTTGATCGGTTAATATAGAAATCAGTCAAAACCTGACTAAACTGGTCAACCCCAAAATTTCTTGGGTCAATAACCGATCAAGTTCTGATAACAACCATTAATATAAACTCTGTGTAGAGCTATGGTAAAGGTTCAAACCTTGAGAACATAACAAACTCCAGGAAAGACCGAGTGGGCAGAACCCAGCAATGCATGACAGACCAAGAGTCTTCGACTATCGGCATCGTGGGAAGAGCACTCAAGTTAAGCTTTATGCCATACATACTCTTGAGAGCCTCGTAGAATGCGGACCTAAACATAAGAAACAAGACAATTCAGGACTAAAAGCCATCCGAAACCTCTTTGGACGGTGATAAAATGAAGAGATTCATGAAGGACGACTGGAAAGGAAATGATTATATTGACATGATGATTCTTCTTACTGGCAATTCCCAGCATTTATAGCATCACAGAAGGACCAGAAATCCTGTTTCAATGGGTTTCTTGGGTCCCTGTCTAAACGGGCCCAAAAGTATAGACTGTCACCATGTCTTCGTGATTCGACAGCATCCAACAATGATCTTTCAGCAGACTTGGACAAAGACACCTGGCAAACTCCGAAATTTAAATATGAAACAACAATTCTCAAGGAAAAAAACACATGATTTCCACACACATTGTTTCAATATGCAAATCTGATGCTCAAGGGAAGAAGTAATAGATATATAAACTTGCTAGCTAAGATTAAAAATAAATAACAGTTAAGTATTTTTATGTAAAATAAATATGTCGTCCAAATATGACAAAATAACATACTTTTCTAGTAAGTACGAAAATTCACTTATTTTGAAAGTCTTACAGTCAAAGTAACTAATTACCAATTTTCACCCATCGAAAAATTATATATTATAGTACTTATATACTTAACATAAATTTATTTGTATGTGAATTTTTTAAGCTTAGCCAAACATGATCTCATCTCAATCTGTAAGAACAGAACTACAAAGGATTATGTACCTTCCTTGCTGTGGCTCTCCAAGATTGGAATCCTATCCAAGCATTTCTGTGAATGCGGTCAATTCGGTTTGCAATTGCAAAGAAGGCTCCATATTCTCCCAAGACATCTCGATAATAAGGGTTATTTAATAAGGGAAGACGAGAAGGCACATCAATGTCATCAGCTCCAGGTCTACGGCCTTTTGTGGACTACAATCACCCGACCATGCATCCACGTTAGATTGAAGAGAGTAGATATTGTATAAACTTGGA